TGAAGATCTCCTCTGCTGCAGTGACAGACTCTGCTGTGTACTACTGTGCTGTGAGGCCCACAGTGACAGGAAACAGCAAAACTCTGAACAAAAACCTTTGGAGCGAAGACAAGCGAAAACTCCACAACATCCACTAGAGGGAGACACACTCTGTTACACTTGTATGGTTTGTTAGGATTCAGTCTACACTCAGCAAGCAGTTTATACGAACAGCAGAATAGCAGTAGGTTTATACTGTTACTGTGTCTTTTTACATCATGCTGGTAGTGAAACACCAGCATGGAGAGTTTCCAGTGATCAGCTGGTTAAAGATCTCACCACTTTAAATGTCAAGGCTACCTTTTTTTTTTTAAACTTTATTGCCTTCAACACAGGAATGCAGGCAATTTTCTTAATAACAAACAGAACAAACAAAATGATGAGATTGGACTCAAAATCAAAACAATATAGAAATATAGAAAAGAGGTACATAGAATAAAATAATTGTATTCAACCTGAATTTAAAACACATATACACGCACATATATGTAAATATGTACACATACATAGACATTACCAACAAAAAAAATTGGAAACACGCGACCATCTTCTTGAAAAAATACCCAATTTCAGTTTTAATCTGCCAGTTAAACTTTCCATCAAATATATATGTTTTGTGTCCATTGTGCAACTGTAGGTGGACATGGTTTGAGCCAGTTGAAGGTGATGATTTTTCTTGCAGCCGTCAATAAGATATGTAAAATATAACACTGGTCATCATTTAGTATGTCATTGGGATACAAGTCCAAGACAAACAGGAGGGGATCCAATGGAAGATTTGTCCGTAGGATGTCGTCAATTATTTCCTTTGTATTTTCCCAACAACTTTTAATTTTTGGGCAATCCCAAAAAATATGGGTGTGATCCCCCACCATACCACACTTCCTCCAGTATTTGTCCGTTGTAGAACTTTTAATTGCATGGGTCCGAAAAACTCTAATTTTAGTTTTCCAATCACTCTCTCGCCAGTTTTGATTATTTATCCCTTTGTGGTCTTGGGAGCAAACTTTAATCCACATATCATCTGTTACAATTACATTCATCTCAAGTTCCCACTGGTGTTTAATATGATGAGTATTATGTGACATGTCCTGCTTCAAGTTTTTATACATTACAGAAATGACTTTTTCTGTTGTTACTTTCTTTTCAAACAGCCTGATAAAGTATTCTCCAATATTTTTAGGTTCTCTTCTAACAGTCTCCCATTGGGTATGTTGTGTCACATAATGTTTAATCTGTAGGTCTCTATACAGATCATTATTTGGTAGAGAAAACTGTTCTTGCAGGTGTGAGAATGATTTAAATGTCTGCCCTTGTCCATCCATCTTTTAAAGGCAGCATCTGACACTGATGGTACAAACTCCACGTTACCTACTACGGGCATGGCCTGGGACAGCCCAGATGTCCCTCTCATTTGTTTTTGAATTAGGCTCAATGTTTTGAGTGTCTGAAGGATCCATGGATTTGTAAGTCTGACCCTTTTCGATGAAGACTGGTTCATAAAAGCAAGAGTACACAGTGACATCCCAGGGACAGAGTCCTGTTCAATGGAGACCCATAAGATTTCAGGATCATTAACCACCCAGGCTGAAACTGTTTGGAGTCGCGTTGACCAGTAGTAAAGTTTAAGGTCTGGGAGTCCAATTCCACACTTTTCTTTATTTGCCATTGGTACTTTTAATCGAACTCTAGGCTTTCGCTTTTGCCAAATAAATGCTGAAATTAATTTTTCTAAGGTTTTACATTTTGATTGCGGCACTAAATTCAGAAGAGATTGAAATAAAAATGAAAATCTGGGTAAAATATTCATTCTCACAGATTCATTTCTGCCCAAGAATGACAAAGGGAGAACATCCCATTTGTCCAGGTCTTTTTTAACTTCCTTCAATAATTTTCCATAATTTCAAGTAAACAATTCTGTGGGTTTAGGTGTAAGATGAATGCCTAAGTATCTAAAGCCATTTATAGATTTCCTAAAGGAAACATTATCTAATTCACTGGGCCAATTCCTGACAATCATCATTGCTTCTGACTTATTTGTGTTAACCTAATATCCAGAGACTGAACGATATTCATTGAGGCGCTGAAGGAGGTGTTGAAGAAATTTTACTCATAGTCCTCATGTGAAGTTTGCTGTAGTGGGTGTTTATTAGTACTCCGGTATACGGTGGGCTCACCAACACAGAGCATGAGTCTGTGAAGGTGGACCGACCCTGAACATCTGCAGAGTCACACATTTGTAAGGTAAGACAGAGGGGGGGGGGCTGTATGTAAATACAGAGGTGAATAGAGGTAAATTAACATACAGTTGCCAATCAAATGACCGGAGGTAAAGGGGGACAATAAATCACAGGTGATGAAATCGGAGTCTGGTGACCAGACGGGTGGTGGAGTCGGGGTTCTGATAGCATACATTTGCTAATCAAATGACAGGAGGTAAGGGGACAATGAACAACAGGGGGTGGAATCGGGGGTCTGTGGCAGGAGGTGGGAAAACACATGACAAAGGGTGATGGGAAAACACATGGCAACAGGGAATGAATTCTGGGGTCTTTGACCATCAAAATAAAAGAAAATGACTTTCTTCATCAGAGGGCTGGGATTGAGGTGGTCGGTTCTTCAATAAACAGTAATATGTCATCAGCAAAAAGTGCAAGCTTGTGTTGAATATTTGTATCGTCCCTTATACCCTGTATACATGGATCAGTTCTTATTATTTCTGCCAGCGGCTCAATACTTTATATGAATAGGCATGGAGAGAGACCACCACCCTGCCGCGTGCCACACCCTAGGAGAAAAAATTCAGAACAATGACTATTAACTCGGACTCTGGATTTAGGGTTTCTATAAAATATTTTTATCTAGTTAATAAATATGTCACTAAAGCCCATATGCTTCAGTGATAGCTCCAAAAACAACCAGTCCACCCTGTCAAATGTCTTCTTGGCATCTAGGCCAAGAAACATTGCTGGGGTTTTTCTCTTCATTGCTATTGATTGTAGGTTTAAGGGTCTCCTCACATTGTCACATCCTTGTCTATTAACAATGAAGCCAGTCTGATCAGGTTTAATAAGCGTCTTAATATATTTCTGAAGTCTACCTGCAATGATTGAGGTTAAAATTTTCATGTCCATGCATAGAAGGCGTATTGGACGATAGGAGAAACATAGGGTTGGATCCTTGTTCTCCTTGGGTATCACACTAATCACTGCCTCTGACCATGACCCCGGAGGTTCTCCTTTAGTCTAAATATAATTGTAAATCTTGCACAGAACCGGTGTCATTTCATGAATAAAGGATTTATAGTACTCCCCAGACAAACCATCAACACTGGGACTTTTTACTATTTTTTAATTTAAGAATTCCCTTTTTGATTTCCTCCTGTGTTACTGGACATGTTCATTTGTTGGCCTCCTCCTGTGTCAATTTAGCCAGATTTATAGATTTTAAAAATCCTCTATCTTTTCCCTTTTTCCTGGGAATTGTTCTCCCTCGTATAACTTTTGGTAGTAATTAGCAAATGTTTTGGCAATGTCACATAAAATGCATGAAGACAAAACAGATGCTCACTCAACCGAGTGAGCATCTGGTTTGTCTTCATGCATTTTATTTTGTCTACTACGCTGTTAGATTGGGTTTTCCGCAACTGAAATACAAGTAATCGACTGGCTTTATTACCATGTTCATGATATTTCCTATTCAGGAATCGTATGGCTTTGCAAGTTAACAGGTCATCTAGTTTCTGTTTTGTTTCTTTTAATAACTTTTGGTCGCATGTCTGTCAGGATTTAAATTCCAAATCTTTAATTTCTTTCTCCAAATTATTCTGCTCAGCAAGCCTCTGTTTCTTAAGTTGTGTGGATATTTAGCTGTGCTGGGTAGATACATTTGGCCCGGATGTTTTTCTGCTTGAGCTGTTTGATTACCTCTCGTACCTGGGTTCATCTCTTTTGAAGCTCCGGGGAGTAATCATGGTCGAAACAAATGGGATTTCCATTGTAGATGGCCTGCCTCTGCCCCCAGGCTTGTCTCAAGATCATGTCTTTCCCTGCATAATCCAGGAATTTCACGATTATGGTTCCTTCGCTATTCTCGGCCACACAGTATATTCTTGAGTTGTTTCTGTGTGTTTGATTCTGTAAGTCGTCGTATTTGGCTGTTAAGTCCATCTCTCTGTGCTACAAGTATCTGATTGCTCTCTCGTGTCTGCATGTTGTGTCCTCAGCGCTGCTAATGCGGTCTTCAGCCTCAGCAGTTCTCTTTTCAAGCCGGGCTATATCACCCTTAATTTCTTGCATTGTTGTCTCCAGTTTATTTATTGATGTCATTGTTTGAGCGTGAGCTTCTCTGTTTGCTTGCCGTAGCTTTCCCAGTTCGGCTAATATTCGGCTATCAAAGTTACCTGTGTTGCCAGCCACATCAGCCTCGACGATGCTAGTCATTGTCTCCGGCAGTGTTAACTGCTTGAAGCTGTTGTTTTTCTCCATCACGCTGTCCCCTTTATTTGAACCTTTGCTTCTTAAAGATGCAACTACGCTGTCTTGCCACCAAAGTTAGTTTAATGTTAGAATATTAAAGTTTTTAGGAAGGAGCGGTGTGATCTCCGTGATGACGTCGCCGGAAGCCCAAGGCTCTACTTTTAACCTGTACTAATTCTCAGATGTTCCAGACATAATTTCCAGAACATTTTTCCCACAGACTATAGCTTCTCACCTATGTGACTACTCATGTGGGATTTCAAAGTACTACCTGCAGTGAACCTTTTCCCACATTTTGCACAAGAACATGACTTTACAAATGTGTGGATTGACGCGTGCCTTTTAAGTGATGATCTGGAAGACAATCTTTTTCCACAGGTGTTACAAACGTGCTGCTTCACACCTGTGTCTGCAGTTGTATGATTTCTAAATGATGCAGGGTCATTAAATCTTTTCACACGGGTGTTACAAAGGTATGGCTTTTCACCTGTGTGGACTCTCATGTGAAGCAAAAAGGAATCTGTGCAACTGAAACTTTTCCCACAGGTTTTACAAGAACACAACTTTCCCCGTGTGGATTCTCATGTGGCACAACAACTTGTGTTTACGGCTGAAATTTTTCCCACAGGTTTTACAAGGATACGGCCTCTCACCTGTGTGGGTTCTCATGTGGGTCATCAAATCACAACTTTGAATACTTTTTTTGACAGGTTTGACAGGAATACGGTCTCTCACCTCTGTGGACCATCATGTGACTTGACACACTACTCTGACAACTGAAACTTCTTCAGTTGAAGGGACATGGAAAAACAAAAAAAACAGGGAGAGGGGGAAAAAAAATAGAGGTATCTTTTGCGAGGTCTTGCAAAACTTTCTTGGGATTTTGCAAAACTTTGTGATCTCGCAAAACTATACCTAACTCCAGTCCGGTAGGTGGCGGTAACGAGAGAGAGAGAGAGAAATATAGATATAGATATGTAGATATAGACTCACATATTCTTCATGCTGCAAATAAGTTTCAGGAATCTGTATGATCATCAGTTATCAGAAAATCAACTAACACAGATTTAGATGACAGAGGTGTGATGTGATGCAAAGTATTTCCAACTACAGGTGTTAAAATGGAGGTCAGTTGTTCAGCATCCATGACTGATTTGATGCTGCTGACAGTTGTGGGTGCTTCCCATCCCTCCTTTACTGTTGGAGAACCAAATGTAGACATGGTGTGGCTTCTCCGGAGTGAAGCTGGTAAAAGATGGATGCTGAGTGTCTGGCTCCTTTTCCAGCTGTTGTAGGCAGTTTATGACTTGCTTCTTGTAACTCCTTGTGGGATCTTGTCTCAGATATAGTCAGTGATGTTACTGCCTTCCTTTAATGAGTTGTTGGCTGGAAGGATGTATCTGAGCACTGAAGAGTGCTGATGAAAACTTCTGCCTGAGTTGCTTCTACCTGCTGGATTGTTGTTTCTCAAGGAGGTGACTTGGTCCACTGTTGGTAACAGTTGTGTGGATGTGACAAAGCTGAATGCTTTAGCCGAGACATTGATTCACTGGTTGGGTAAGAACACAGCTGTTGTAATCGAACTTTAAAACAGTCTTAAACAAGGCTTTAGAAGTTCATATGGAGTTTGTCTTTTTTACATTTGGCCTCAACCCTCTGACAAGAAGGAAGGAACATGTTGAGGGAGGAGCAACACTGTTAAAGAGCAGAACAGAAAAGGACTCCCACTGTCACATACATTCAGTATGTAAACCAACATAACAGATAGTGTGTGGAAGATGCTGTCACTGCATTACTGGGTCATTTTTCCTTTGTTGGTGATTACACTGAAAGGTAGGTTAAAATAGGAAGAGACAAAAAAGTCTTTGAAGGATCTGTTTGATAGAAAACACTTTATTTAACATTTATCTCTTCATTTAGGTGTCAACTGTCAACAACTGACTGCAGTGAAGGATGAAGAGTCCGGTTTAGAAGGCAGCACTGTCACTCTGATCTACAAATACTCCCAAGCCGCTACTTATACTGACTATTTCTTCTGGTATCGACAACATGCAGGAAAACCTCCAGAGTTCCTCATCTATCACTCAGGAACACAGAATGAAACTAAAGCTGGACTCTCTGCTACAGTGAGTGGTGATAAAAACCACATCACTCTGAAGATCTCCTCTGCTGCAGTGACAGACTCTGCTGTGTACTACTGTGCTGTGAGGCCCACAGTGACAGGAAACAGCAAAACTCTGAACAAAAACATTTGGAGCAAAGACAACAGAAAACTCAACTACATTCACTAGAGGGAGACACACTCTGTTAAAGCTCTGACTTGTGAGTTACTGGACTGATGAGAAAGACAACAGAGAAATGAAGCAGCAAAGATCAGAGACAGAGCTGCTGTGGAAACGTAAAACACTTTGATTGGCTGAACTGAACTGAAAAAAATTATATCAAGGTAATGGCCCCGCCCACTGAACTTCAGCTCATCCACTGACATTATTTCTTCCTCATTGTACTGCAGTGGAAGAACATTGTTCATCTGCTGTGTGTCTGACTTTAATAACTCCAAAGACATGTTGCTTTACCTCTTTCTGTTTTCATCTCACTTCATAGGTGAGTTCATGAACAGCTGAGTTTCTCTTTTAACCTGCTGTGTTAATGTTCACAGTTGAAATCTCACAATTTTCTGTATTTGTCATCAAGTTGTGTACAATCTAGTTGTGATGTGTGCTACAGTTGAGCTGTTTGTGTCCACAGAGTAACACTGTACAGGTGACATTTTCCACTGTCTTCTCCTCTCAGCCTCATGGACAATGTGAGTCTGATGGCTTCATTTTCTCTACTTTTTCCAGGACTAATAGCTGGAGCCACAATCTCTCCTGAACAAGATGAAGTCAGTGGAACAGAAGGACAATCTGTCACACTCTGATGTAACTATATGACAAGTTATAATTATCCCAGACTTCACTGGTACAAACATCATTCTGACCTTCAGGCTCCTCAGTTTATACTCTGGAAAGGAGCAAAAAGGGAGACAGATGAACATATTCCTGATAAACATAAATATGGATCCCAAACATCAGATACATCAACTACATTGATCATCAGAGAGCTAACCCTGGCAGACACAGCTCTCTACTACTGTGCTGTAGACACACAGTGATACAAAGTGTAGCAGAGGCTGTACAAAAACCTGAACACAGATATGTGACTCCTCTTCAAAGAGGAGGGAAGTGGTATTCAAATCTTGGCTTCATATCAGATGGATTGTGCTAATTCCTGTTTTATCACAGTCACTGTGGTTACAGCTGCTGATGAAACACTGTGGGAGGATTCACAGGAGCAGCTGATCCACATTAACCACAAACACACTGCAGGAAGTTTCATACACAACATGGAAACACAGACAGTGACTTCATCCTCTTCATACATTGAGGCTCATTAGGCCACAATGAACTACTTCTATAGCTGACTGTCCTCCATCATGAAGAGCTTCACTCCCACCAGACTCTAAGGTAATAAAGGTCTGAAGTTTTAGTCAAAAATATAATACTTCCGGGCTGCCGCTTTAGCTCATCTGGTTGAGTTGGCGACCCATGTACAGGAGATATAGTCTCCGATGCAGCGGCCATGGGTTTGAATCCTGTTCATGGCCCTTTGCTGCAGCCTCTTCCCCCATTCTCCTCCCCCACTTTCTTGTCTATCTTTCGACTGACCTCTGTAATAAAGGCAAAAAGTCCAAAAAAAACCCCAAAAAACAAAAAACTTTCATCACATCACATTCCATTGAGTGTATTCAGAACAGATGCACAAATATTGTTTCTCTTTTAGTTTATATGTGCTTTCATCTGCAAAAATTACAGTTCATTGTCATAAACTGTTCATAAACTGGACTTATGCCTGTGGCCTTCAGAAGGGTAACTCTGCCGATCATAAGGACCACCGAGTCCTTTGGCTGGCTGGATGTTTCTTAGTTCAGCTTGCGTGCTCTCACCTGACATTCACATTTTCTATACCTGTTAAAAACCAGTCTACAAATTCCAAGCAGGTGTTTATTCAGTTTGCATACTGTACATCAGTTGTGACTCTTTAGCAGACTATGACTCCTGACATCCTCCATTTCTGTAATGACTGCATATTTTTAGCCACCTTGACCAACCTCAGCAACTCAGTGTCTTGGTCAACACCATGTCTGCACCACAATATGTCAGAACTCATCTTTTGTGGCGCCACTATTCTGTCATTGTACACCTGTTCCTTCTCACATTCTGTGTCCCTGGAGGCCTTTACATCGTCTGGCACCTTACCTCTGTATGTAGACCTCCCTATCATCACAGCGTTGGATCAGCTGCAGCTTAGCATCCTGTAGTGTTTGTTGCTCAGCCAGGTCAAGCTTGAACTGCTACCTAACAGACCGTTACTTCACTGGTCAGCTCAGAAATTTCTTAGGTCACAGCGGCTGGGATTTCTAGAAATGGTGTCTGATACAACAAGTTTGTTTCCTGTCACATATTTGGCTGCAGTGTTACAGCACATCATATGCAGCACTAGTCTGTGACACCTCACAGGTTGAGGTGGAGTTAGTTCTAGTTTATCAGAAGATGGAAAGGTTTGTGACCACTCTGCAGAGTGAAAAAAATCTCACCAAACTAAATTCAACTATGGCAGAAAAGAAAACACTTCTAGTGTTTATCTCTGGCTCCACCCACCAATGTTCAACTCAACCAATGAGATTGTTCCTGTGTGCAGAACTTAAAGCACAATGAACTTGATGTGGAGAACAACTGTGCAGTAGAGAGGCTGCTTAGTTCTTCCATTGTGCTGCAGTGGAACAACACTGTTGATCTGCTGTCTAACTGCGACAACTGAAAACATGTTAATTTACCTGCTTTTTATTTTCTACAACTTTCTAGGTGAGTGTTGGGAGAGAAAAACCTCAGAATGACTGTTTTCTCAGATTTTGTGGATGTTACTATTTTTGAAATGAATCTCATTCTGATCACATGTGAGCCACAAAGTGAAGAACCTTCTTTTGACTCTTTGGAATTTTGAATCTTAGGCAAACTAACTGACATGAATGACTTATTTTGCAGCCATGGGCTCCATGAACAGCATAAAGCCGATAAGTACTGAACAAGTTGTTGCAGAGGGAAGAAACATCAGGCTGACCTGTGACTATGATGGTACTATCTACAGTATCCAGTGGTACCGACAGTACCAGAGATCCAGACCAGAGTTCCTGCTGTCCATCACAGAGGGAGGATCTATTCATCCAACGCTTTCTGACTTCTCTGCTCACATTAACAAAACACACAAACGTGTAGATCTGGAGATCATCTCAGCTGCAGTGACAGACTCTGCTGTGTACTACTGTGCTCTGGAGCCCACAGTGACAGGAAACAGCAAAACTCTGTACAAAAACCTTTGGAGCAAAGATAAGAGAAAACTCAACTACATCCACTAGATGGAGACACACTCTGTTACATGTCTATGAATTGTTAAAATTCAGTTTACCGTAGGGGAGTAGGTTGGCCTCCCTTCCCTCATCTGTATAGTCCAGGTAATTATAGACTTCACCATCAGAACTTTAAATGTCATAGATCTACTTTTAAACAGTACTAATTATTACATATTTCAGGTTTAGCTCACAAATGTTTCAGGACTAAAGCCTCTCATCTGTGTGGATTTTTCCCTGGACTTTAAAATTACTACATTAAGTGAAATTTTTCCTACATGTCGCACAACAATATGACTTCCTATTTGTGTTTCCACAGGTGTTAGAAACGTTACAGTTTCTCACGTGTGTGGACTGCTGTATGACTTCTAAATGTTGACGGGTCACCAAATCTTTTCCCACACGTGTTACAATGGTATGGCTTCTCACCTGTGTGGATTCTCATGTGGACTTTCAAATTACTACTATGAACAAAACCTTTCTTACATATTATACAAGAATGGGGCTTCTCACCTGTGTGGAGCCTCATGTGAACTTTCAAACTACTACGATGAGTGAAACCTTTCTCACATATTTTACAAGATTGCAAATCCTCATCTCTGTGAATTGCTGTATGCCTTTGGAATGCTGTAAGCCCATAAAACCTTTTTCCACAGACGTTACAAAGGTAAAGCTTCTCACCTGTGTGAGTTCTCATGTGAGCAGTCAAATGATGATTTTGAGTGAAACTTTTCCCACATGTTTCACAAGCAAATGGCTTCTCACCCGTGTGGATTCTGAGATGTCTCTGTAAATTGAACTTGCATTTAAAGGCTTTTCCACAGACGTCACATGTTAGAGCCTTTTTCGTTTTGTCAGCATCACAGTGAATGACTGACACAGAGGAGTTGCCAACAGTGTCACTGTGACTGCTCTTTCTGCCATGTGTCTTCAGCATCACATTGCTAGTTGAACCTGAGTTTGAGTGCTTGCTTCCTTCCTGGTCTTGTCTCTCAGCTAAATGAGAGTTATGATAGAGGAGCTGGTCACTGTTTGGTTCTGGTTCATTGTGGTCACTTTTTTCACAAGTAGAAAACACCATAAAGGTATCAGTCTCTTTCTTCAGTAAAGGCTGCTCTCCCTTCTGACTGCCGAGTTTCCTTTTCTTCTGTGGAGACTGTAGGTCATCCTGGTCCAGACTGATGCAGAGTTCCTTCTGTTCTTCTTTAATCTGTGGAGGGTCTGGGTCCTTCTGATCCAACCTGGAGTTCCCCTCCTGGTTACAGGATTGATGGTCAGTGAAAATCTCCTGCTCCTTACAAACAAGTCGCTGTTGGAGATCTGGAGGGAAAAACAGACACAAAAAGAAAAGTCAGTCACACCTATGCGAGGCTGAGCATAAACATACAAGTTTGAACCATTAGCAGAGTGTAAAAATGAGAAAACTGATCTGCACGCACCGATGTCACAGTGACTCTTGAGTTCTGATACTCTTCTTCACTAAGCTCACTATACAAAACACTGAGGCAGCAAGTTCCTAGATTTAGACCATGCTGATAGTTACACTTGCAGGCTTTGACAGGATGCAGCTGGTTGCATTCAGCAATGATTATTTAAAAGGTATAAGAACCGCTACTCTGCAACATTGCTGCAAAATCAGAGAGGACTGAGTGTTCCTGCAGTTCCAACAGCACTGAGATGTGTTAACAAAAATGTTTGTCTGATCAGTCAAGCCTGTTTCCCAAAAAGTTAGGAACCGTGTACAATGTAGTACAAACGTACAGGCATGACTTGATAATCCAACGCTAAATGTAATGCCTTTTTTTATGTTGGACAGCAAGGCTGTCAGATCGTCAAGACGGAGATCGAGATAAAAGAAGGGCTTGATGCTTGAAGGGTAATTTGTTATTAATACTTATTGTTTATAGTTGTTATAATAAACTATCCACGTATATGATATTGATCGGCCGATTGTCACAGAATAGGTGTCTTTTGTGAACTGTACCAATTTGTCCTGGGAACATTTCAGATGTTCTAGCTTGTACTGACACAGAGCTTTTTTCATCGCTAGTGTTATCTCTGTTTTCACTTGGTCGGTTGCTCCATGACAGTGCACAACATGGTCTGTGACTTCTTGAATGGTGGTGAAAACTTAGACGCAATTTTACGTATGATGTCTGGCGTGTAACAGTATCGAAGCAATTTGTTTCTATGATTGAAAAGCCTGATACAACCGGAGTATACATAGGTTCATAGAATTGTTCAGGTGTCAAAACATGCCACATTGTTTTATACTTCAAAGAACTTCAAAGCACAAAACTTATCCTTCCTGTGTTCCACACATGTAGAGTTGTTTATTAACAAACTGATGTAAACTGACTTAACTAGTTGGGCAAACTCACTCAATGAGTGGGACGAGTGTATTGTTAGAACACTACACATCGCTGGATTTCACACCTAATTGACCAGTGCACTTGTGCACGGGCCTGTCGGTTGACATCAAAGGTAAGTAAATCTGTCAGATTGTTAAGTCAGATAATACGTCGTTATCCTTATTTGTGACATAAAATGTCATATCGGAGTCGGAATCCTGGGCTGTCGGTATGTTAAAGCTCGTTTTTATCATGCCGTTCCCCGTGCTGCGCCGGGACTCTCGGACCACATGATGGTCCATCCAATTCCTGCATACAGACAGAGACTGAAGCTCTGTAAACCTGTTGTGAGGGAATCAAAACAGTGGACCAGTGAAGCTGTGGAGCAATTACAGGCGTGTTTGGACTGTACGGATTGGGATGTTTTCAGGACTGCTACCAATAGTCTGGATTAGTTTACAGATGCTGTGACGTCCTACATCAGCTTCTGCAAGGACAGCTGTATACCAACACGCACCAGGGTGAGCTACAACAACGACAAACCCTGGTTCACAGCAAACTCAGACAGCTCAGGTCAGATTAAAGAGGCAGCATTCAGGAGTGGGGACAGCGACAGTTTCAGAGAAGCAAAGTACGCGTTTAGCAAGGAGGTGAGAAGAGCTAAGCGTCAGTACTCTGAGAAACTCCAACACCAGTTCTCAGCCAATGATACTGCTTCTGTGTGGAGAGGGCTAGGGCAGATAACCAACTACAAACCTCAGGCTCTCAAAGCTGCTGACAACCTGCGTCTGGCCAACAGCCTGAATGAGCACTACTGCAGATTTGAAAGACAATAGGACAGTCCTGACTCCATCCCCCATCACACCTCAGACCAACCACAACCCATCACCTGCACCTCCCCCATCACAGCAGGAGCCTCATCACAGCTGCCCACCTCTGAGGCTCCTGGGTTTAATGTTATATATTTAGGAAAGAGATGCAGTCATGCCAATTATTACAGTTACCTAGAAAAACAAATGCCACATAGAGCTGATTAGGATCCTATATGAATCATATTCCTTAGTGAGTCAGAGCATCACAGTTTTACATACCTATTCTGTGTAACTTAATTTGGAGTTTTGAGGTGACATTAAGTAGTCTGTGCTGATGATTGATCTCTTTCTCAGACTGGCCAGTTGTGTTTTGAGAGACTCGAAATTCTTCACATTTGGACTTGCACTGAACTGGCGTTGAGGTATCTGCCTTCTGATTCAGTACAAGCTGCTGACTGCCCCGACTTTTGCAGCGTTTCTCCAGTTCCTCTTTCATTTGTGGAGGCTCTGGGTCCTTCTGGTCTAGATTACTGCAAAGTTCCTGTTCCTCTTTCATTTGTGGAGGCTCTGGGTCCTTCTGGTCTAGATTACTGCAAAGTTCCTGTTCCTCTTTCATTTGTGGAGGC